TTGAACACATATACAATATAATGAAAAAATTATATATATGGTAATTTCTATTATTTGAACTAATTCATGCTTGAAGGTGTCCAAATAAGAAAAAATTTGGAATTGGAGATGTTTTCCCAAGTAAAATTCAGAATTTTCTAGTTGAGAAAATTCAGAATGAGAATACAATGCTCTGAACTCTAAATTACAGAAAACATCTCTAATCTTAAGAAAATAAAAAAAATAGATATACTGTACAGTACAGAATTATGAATAATACAATATGCCAAATTCTAAATATTGTATTATAGTATTTTCTGAATTTGGGGAAATTCTGAGTAAGACACATTATAGTGCTGTATTGTACTGTATTTAAAAGTTAATTTCAATTCAGTACACAGTGCAGTAATTTTACATGTGAGAAAGAGAAACAGTTTGTATACAAATGCTTCCAAGTTTTCAAAAAAGTAGCAATAAACATTTGAAAAATCATTTTAAAGCTGAATTAACTAATGCACACTGTACAAGAAACTGGTTGCAGAATGTAACAAGATTTTCTCAGGAGAAAACAGGTGTAGTACAAAAGTTCTAAGATTTTTTGAAAATTATGATTGAATGATTATGATTTCTTAAATAAAAACTACCTTGCTATTAAGAATGAATGATGTACAACAATGTTGCTGATAATTCTATACTGCATAATGGAAATAGAAAAAGAAAAAGAATGTTCTACTGTAAAACAGGTAAGTAAATTTACCTTGTACATAGCTCCTCAACTTTTAATGTATAGTACTGTATATTCATCAGTACAAAATTATTCTCTATTACAGTATATGAATGATAGGTACAGGTACAGTACATATATAAATGTTAATGGATTATCCTGAAGATATATTAATGTAAAAAAACTAAGCATTACTGATTAGAAATTAATACTTCATATTTTGTCATTAAAAACCCATTCACCTTATCACCATTTCACAGCAGACACATTTGCACAGTTCGAGACATTTCACTAGTTCTTCATCCTAGGACTAAAAGACACCATTCGTGGTGAAGCATTTCCTCAATAAATGTCTTGAATTGTGCATATGCATTTTTAACTACATACTGTCAGTATCACCATACCTGTTTTCCATCCTTTCCACTGCACAGCTAATGTATAAGTGTCCAGCTTACCAGTGGCCTTGGACAACGCTTCTTTTGAGATGAAGTGACATCCAATGCAACACACAGAACTTCTGTATTTACAATTTACTTCATTACTCTTGCAGTACAGTATATGATCCATCAACAAGATGGTGAAATTATAGCCAATATCTGATCTGTGATTCATGGGTCTATTATGAAGCTGTCTCATAGTTGCAGCAGTGTACTAAACATGGAAAGAATTTTAAATGTCATTTGGTTGGGAGATGCTGGCAGCAAATTATACTCCTCGTGTATTGTGCCAAGACATACAGTACTGTATTTTGCTAGAAATAACTGTACATACAAGTACATACCACAAGCATTCAATGAAGATTAATCTGGGTTATTTTCCAGTTGAAGGAGTTAGGTAACACGACTCACGAAATCGTAATGACACGATTGCAAACAAGCCATACCACGGCCGGGGATAGAACCCGCAATCAGAGAGTCTCAAAACTCCAGACCGTCGCATTAGCCACTGGACCAGCTAGCCACAATAAGATTTGTCCAACTAGGTATATTTCTACAGAAATCTAGGTATATATCTACAGAAATCTAGGTATATTTCTACAGAAATCTACCTAGTTGGACGAATCTTATTGTGGCTAGCTAGTCCAATGGCTAACGCAATGGTCTGGAGTTTTGAGACTCTCTGATAGGGGGTTCTATCCCCGCCCGTGGTATAGTTTGAGTTAGGTAAAGTGGGTCATCATTCTCAGAATCGTCCAAGTGAAAGATGACATACTGTTCACTCATTAACATCAAAACTCCAATAAATTTTGCAGCTAAGACATGCATGTTGAAGAACATAACTAGCATTTACAGTGGACCCCCGCATAACGATCACCTCCCAATGCGACCAATTATGTAAGTGTATTTATGTAAGTGCGTTTGTACGTGTATGTTTGGGGGTCTGAAATTGACTAATCTACTTCACAACATTCCTTATGGGAACAAATTCGGTCAGTACTGGCACCTGAACATACTTCTGGAATGAAAAAATATCGTTAACCGGGGGTCCACTGTATATGTACAATGCATTAGCCCTTTGAGAGTTGACAGGTCCCCCTCCCAAACTTGTTCTCAGGGTCAAAAAATTTTGAAGAAAAAAAAAAATCTCATGAAATGATAGAGCATATTTTGCGAGTGTTATAGGACAAAATTTTTTTTTTCGATCAATACTTGCCAAGATGTGGAGGCATGAAGTTGACAGAAACCAAGCCGCTTATGGCAACATCGCTGACTGCCAGTCACGCGGTAATAGTTTATTTACTATTTTTCTACTTTTTTCTTTTATTTTTTTAACATTTTATTTTTTCAAGTACAGTGGAACCTCAAAAATCCAACTGCTCCCAACACGACCAATTATGTAAGTGTATTTTTGTAAGTGCTTTTATAAGTGTATTTTTGAGGGTCTGAAATGGACTAATCTAATTTACATTATTCCTGATGGGAATAAAGTCATTCGGTAAAGGCACTCAAACAGCCTTCTGGACCAAAGAAAGTTCGATATTTGAGGTTCCACTGTAACTTATGGCCTGCGAGACCAATATAAGCCATATTTTGGATATATACACTCATTGTATACTAAACAATAACTGCACAAACATTGACAGGTGAACATTTTCTCCTATTTTAGTCACATACTATTGTCTAGAAATATATACATAGTATTTATAGGTCCCAGCAATGTTTTGGTGGGGAAGGGAGCGTGGGTTTGTGTAAACTACATGGCTAGAAGGCAGCTGGCTGGCTGGCTCTGTCTCACAGGTACACACACATACAATTATACATAGTGTAAATTACCTAGGGTACACAAGAGAGTATAATAATAATAATTGAAGTGTAAGTGTGTGTCACTCGTCTTATCACTCCACTAGTGACAGTTGTGACATTTGATGAGGGCACACTACTTTTGCTTTATTTGTTTTCACTTTACACAAACATGTCTGTCTGTCTGCTTGCCTCTCTTTCTATCTCTGTCTCAGAGAGAGCCACTAGTGAGCCAAAATGTATTACACACGATGCAGTGCTTCACATCCGAGTCCTGATACTATTATTTGCCCGTCTGGATTTTTTTGGCTTATCCTAGGTAATTTACACTATGTATAATTGTATTTATGTGTACCTGTGAGACAGACACAGACAGACAGACAGCCAGCCAGCATTTGCACAAATTCACACTGCCTTCCCCAACTTCAGTGACACTTAAATCTGTGTTAGAACTGTCACTTGGGAAGAAAATAGTCTCAGTTTGGGGGAAGAGTGAGGTTTTCCTTACCGCTTGGCGACAAAGGCACACTGTATTACCACTCCCATAATGCAATGCGGGTGCCTAGATCTTTTTTTCCTACTGCGCACACTAACCACGTAGACTCATTCTATCACATGTAGGCCTAACAGCTTTCTCCAGCTTGATTTGAAGGATGGTTTAGCACTTCTTTTTTATTGTAATAATAATAATAATTGATTTGAAGGTGCTAGAATTTATGCGTACAAGTATGTGATCAACCCTGGCTCCAATGACGCACTTGTACGTGACCAACCCTCAAAGGGTTAACCAAAAATACTACTACTACTATTATTAATAATTTATGATTTTATAATTCTTGAGTGCCTACTCTTTCAAGAAATTTCTTGCACAGCAAACCATAAAAACAATGATGAAAATGAATACTAAAGTTTATATTCAAAAGTGACAGTATGATTGTCAAGACCATAAGGTCTAGAAAAGAGCTTATGAATGTAATCAGTCTGAGCCATAATAATTTATGAAGAATTAGACAGCCTAGGAGAAGGTGCTCATCACCCACTTCTAGGCTGAGGGACTGATTACCTCATCTTCTAGTCTTCACATTATGTCCTTGTACTGATAAAGCCACTGGATGGAGAAATGTTTACAAATTCAAGCTACTCAGATGTTGCATGTGTCTAATTCTTCATTTTGTCAGTACTGTTACAATACCATTCGTATACATATATTTTATGGCTGAATATTTTTCTACATGTACTGTACCTACCTTAATTTATAAAACAAAGTTGCGAGGGATCATTAAATTTACCTAAAGGCCAGTTTTCAAGGAATACAGCCCTATATTGGTGTTGATTCTGGCTCTGTCTTCTTTGACAATTTTTAGCAGTTAAGATTGCTTGTTAGAGGAGTTTGGGTGTACAAAAAAAAAATTGAAAGTAATCACAGAAAATAAATAGGCGATATGAAAAAGCAGTTTTGGAAATGAAAGATCAAAACATAGATTGGAGAGAGGAGTATAGAAAAAAATGAATTGTATTTTTTAAAACTAAGGATCTTAAGATGGGTTTATGAAAGATGAGGCAAATCACAAAACTGGTGAGGAAAAAAAGAGGAATGTCTAAGGAAATAAGTATGCCACTCAATGCAAAATAAGAAAATGTATCCAAAAACTGTCTAGTGGTGTCAACACTTTTATACAAGTTTGAGATGGACCTAAAAAAAGCACAAGGATGAAAGTGAAAAAAAAAAAAAAAAGCCATGTAAAAAAATCAGGGTAGTGTGAATATTAGAGAGAGTAAGGCGAGTTGTATTCTACTTCATGAAACAGACAACCCATATGGGTTATTCAGTACAATGGCACTGGTGCTGTAGGTTTGATCCTCAATATGATAATTGAAGCAAAGTCTTTGACCTAAATTTTGCCTAAGCAACAGGTAAAGGGGTATGTGCTTCCCAGGACAGGGTCAAGGATTTTGTGAAAAATTTTTTTGAGGTAACAAAACACAACCCGGGGATACCAAAAATTTTTTTATTCTACTGGCGACTGAAATAAGGGGTAAAGAAGTTAAAAGACTGGTATTATTTAAAATGTAATTCAGGGAGCAGAATACATTGGCAAGGTTTGGTGTTGTAAACACAAGATCAAGACAGGCTGATGAAGAAGGTATATGAATCTGAAGGGAAAGGTAATGTCTAATGAGGGTTGAAAGTACAATGAGATTTTGAGAGGCGGAGATAGAAGCATACAGCAGGCATATAATGTATGTATGAGGTGTTAAGACTGGAGTAAAGATTTTTATTTACAGAGAAATTCAGGAAAACAGGTAGCCTAGACCTAAGCAGACATATCACATATTCCTACATAGTATGAGGTCTCAGATATACTCCATATTATAACTCTATGCATGTGTGTGTGTGTGTGCGTGCACGTGTGCATAAGGATGCACGTACACTGTACCTGCTTAACTTAGAATATCACCACCTTGTTAATATTAAAACAAGCACGAAGACAGCTCCAGTTCCAATGATAAATACTCAAGTGTCACAGCCAGTTTTAAGAAGTGTCAGTGCTTTTTGAAGATTATTAATAGCAGTTTTAGAATCTTCATAATCAAGTGCTGACACAGCCCACCTGCAATATTTCTGAGCCTTCACTATCATGTCAGGACTTAACATCACTGTACCACCTGCAACATAACATGCATAAACAGTATTAATCTAATGTACAATATATATATTTTTTTAAATAATTTTGTCTACAATTATAATAAAAAATAATTTCCTAATCTATCCTTTTGAACATATGTCCACACAAAATTAATTATGGGAAATTTTTTATTCTTTCTATAGTTTCTCACTTAGCACTTCTTTTTGATTATAATAATAGTTTCTCATTACAAAATTTGTATAATAATTTATCATTTAATTTTAAAATACATTACTCTGAAAGCTGCACAGGTTTTACCCAGCATATGAAGATTTTGCCATCATTACGTTATATTTTAAGCAATCAGGAATTAACAACTGCCTGCCTGTGAAGGTAGGTGCAAACTACCTCCTATCTTATGATGCATATATTCTCTCTCACTTATTTTTAACATTGAAAATATAGTAGAAAACCTTAAGTCATGTGATCAAAGCTCACATTTTCAATATTCTGTGATTTAAATTCAGGTTTTCATTTCCAACAGAAGCATGCAATTTCTACTGTCCAAATGCTTGTAATTAAACCTTTGAGTGGCCATCACATAGAACTGTCACTGAAGCCAGGGTCCCACAGGTAGTTCTATGTCATGAGCTCAACTCGCTCAGATAAGCTGTAAATGGTAAATTTTGACCTAGATATGAGAGAATGGGTCTGTGCAGTGAGTGTTCACAATATAAAGAAAATCCTGCCCTATGTAGTGCATGATGGGAAAAGCAAAACTCTGACCATGTATAGTTTAAAATAGCAAATTTCAGGCATTTTCTTGGATTGTTTTTATGGTTTTCTAGACTATTTCTTGGTATCATTTGATAGAATGGAAGACATGCTATGGAAACAGAAATACTTTTTGTTGGTTTCAGAACCAATAATTATTGGGACACCGTAAACCATCATTCCCGGTTATAGTTTATTAACTGGGAAAGAGCAAACTTTCCATTTTTGCGATTATAAATTCAAAATCGAAGGCAAGTGTAATACAGTGGTACCTCAGGATACAAAATTAATTCGTTCCAGGAGGCTGTTCAAGTGCCGATACCGAACGAATCTGTTCCCAAAAGGAATAATGTAAATTAGATTAATCCATTTCAGACCCCCAAAAATACACTTAACCCTTAAACTGTCCAAACATAGATCTACGTTCACATGCATAGTGCTCCAACCTTTATTTTTCCCCATTTGAAAGCATGTAAAAAAAAAAAAACGTAGATCTACGTTCAGAGCCACCCCCCCCCCCCACGCACGTGGACATAGATCTACGTTTGGACAGTTTAACCTTTTGGGGGTTTCAGACGTGTACGTCTTACGACCCAGGGTTTTTGACGTACTAGTACGCCTAAATTCTAGCGCCCTCAAATCTAGTGAGAGAAAGCTGGTAGGCCTACGTATGTAAGAATGGGTCTATGTGGTCAGTGTGTGCAGTATAAAAAAAAAAATCCTGCAGCACACAGTGCGTAATGAGAAAAAAAAACTTTGACCGTGTTTTGGGATTAAAACAGCGACTTTGCACTGTATTTTCGTATGGTATTTATTGTTGTATTCTAGTTTTCTTGGTCTCATTTTATAGAATGGAAGACATATTACAGAAATTCAGATGATTCTGACTGGTTTTACAATGAAAAGTACCTTGAAATTGAGCTCAAATTAGCAGAAATGTTCGATTTTTACCAAAGTTCAAAAGTAAACAAATCATGCCAAGCGTCCAATACACATCAACTGGCAAGTCTAATATTCTTTCACAAGTGTGCCAATATTATTTATACCATTTCTACACTAATGCAGTAGTCTGCATAACAGTAAATCTTCTATTTTTTTTTTGTAAGAATAAAAATTCAAAGTGGAAAGCCAAAGAAATATAAGAGGGGCCTGGGGATGTGACTAACGAACAGAGAACTTGTTATTTTAGTGCCAGGAATGTCTTTCTTGTTTATTCTGGACCCTATTCGGAAATTGGCATCTTTTGAAATTTGTGTGAAACGCAAAATTGCAAATTCTGACTACTTTATTGGATAGTTGAAATCGGTAAATGGGTGGTTTCTTGTACTCATTCGACTAGAAAAAATGGAGTTCTAGCGAAATACAGTAGTTATGATTTTTGTCGACTAGTACACTGGAATTGGCCGAAAATAGGGCTCAAAGTGGGCAAAATCGCCGATGCGTAAACATCGTCAAGACCGCTAACTTTGCGAGAGCATAATTCCCTAAGTTTTCCATCAAATTTCATACTTTTGTTGTCATTATGATCAGGAAAAGATTCTCTATCTTTTCATAAGAAAAAATATTTTTTTTTTTTTAAATTTGGCCAACCCTGAGAACAAGTCTCTGAAAGGACCTGTCGACCCCCAAAGGGTTAAGGGTTAAAAAAGCACTTACATAAATACACTTACATAATTGTTCGAGTTTTGAGCTGTTCGTATCCCGAGGTACCACTGTGTAGGAGAGGCCTGGAAATGTTGTTTTAGTGCCAGGAATGTCTACATTGTTCATTTTGAACTATTTCTTGTATTCTAGTAATAGAGTGGAAGGCATACCAGTGAAATAACTAAGACTTTGGTTGTTTGAAGCAATGGAATTGTCTTAAAATAGGACTCAAATTTGATGAAATCACCGATGCATAAATTACGTCAAGAATGCTAACTTTGCGCCTGTATAATGCTGTAAGTTTTCTATCAAATTTTGTACTCTTGGTGTCCTTGTCAGAAAAAGGTTCTCTTACATTTCAAGATAATTTTTGTTTTTTAAAAAGTGGACAGTGAAAGCAATATGTATTAACCCTTAAACTGTCCAAACGTAGATCTATGTTCACTCACGTGGCGCTCTGAATATTTTGAAAAATAATTTTTTTTTTTTTTAAATGAAGAGCACATTTTTCTACATGTTATAGGATTAAAAAAAAAAATTTAGGGTCAGTACTTACCAAGATATAAGACTATGAAGTTCACTCTGGATGCTCACCTGACAGCAACATTGACTCCTGCCATTTGCAGAAGTGTTGCCGATATACCTTTTTTTCTCGTTTTTATTTTAATTTATGTATTTTTTACATCCTGATAATTACAATTTATAATAGTTCTTGTGATTTCATAGCCTATCTTTGTTCTGACACTAATATTAGGTACTGAAATAGTGCTCAAATAGCCACAATCATAGTGACAGGTGAACATTTACACCTGCCTGGGTTATTTACTATTGTCTAGAAATATATACAAAGTATTTATAGGTCCCAGCAATGTTTTAGATACCCTGGCATATACCTTGAAGCATGGTGTTATGAAAGGCATCCCTATACTGTTGACAGCCCAGTGACATTTGATAAATGCCCACTGCTCCAGCTAAACCTCATTGTATTTGTTATCACTGTTACACACAAACATGTCTTGTCTCTCTGTTTATCTATCTGTCTGTCTGTATCTGCCTGTCTGTCTCTGCTTATCTGTCTTTCTGTCTGCCTGGAGTATACATATATGAAACTCCTTGAAGAATGGTGTTATGACAACTGTTGACAGCCCAGTGACATTTGACAAATGGGTGCTCGGGGAACCCTGGCTTTATTTGTTTTTGCTGATACACACAAACATATTTGTCTGTCTATTTGTCTGCCTATCTTTGCCTGGAATTTTTGGTTTATCCTAGGTAATTTACACTATGTATAATAACTGTACTTATGTGTGCATGTGAGACAGAGATATAGATAGACAGAGAGCCAAAGCAAGCCAGCCAGCCAGCCAGCCTGCCGAATACATAAGAACATAAGAAGGAACATTGCAGCAGGCCTACTGGCCCATGATTTTTATTATGAATTAACTGAATTAATTCTGAATTATAGTAAATGTCATCATAAGGTACAGTCTCCTATGTGCAAGTTATCTATGTATTGTTCCATTCACGGTATTGTGCCTCTTTAAAACCCTCATTGGTTTAGTGCTTTCTCTGATTATAATAATAATAATGTGCCTCTTTATTCTTTAAATTAATATCTATATTCAACCACTAACAAGCTCACAAAGTTTAAAGGTAGTTGTGTAACTAAAACACCTAACAAATTGTTCTTGCAAAAATTTCACTATGTAATTATGTTACAAGTAGGCTTAAGCTGTTTTAAGACTTCCTGAAATGCCTGCATAACCAGGGGGTTTATATAAAGTACCACGTCAATAACATCATATTTTCTGTACTGACTATAAACCATTCTTTATAGATATAAAATTTACTTTAATGATACTTTCAAAAAGGAGGACTAAGAGTGAGTATAATAGGAAATGAAAAGAGGGTAAATATAAATTTGCTATATTTAGACACTTAGAACACTATCAAGGCATGTCCTAATTACAGGAAGATGAACAGTTTGTAATGCAGTGTAAGAAACAAAAACTGATGCTGATGTGGTTGCAATTTGGACAATGGTTGTAACAATGGGGCATGCAACTCAGCAGTGAAGGTACTGGCAGATTAGTAAGTGTCCTTGAAAATTATGATTAAAAAAGATGGCAGTGTGATCTAGCTCTGCATGGGACTTCAAACCATCAATGTACAAAGGAATCACATCAATGTCTGCGAAACTCTCAAAAAAATGAATACAAGGTCGAAAGAGAGAAGGAAGAGTTTGGGAAGGAACGAACAGATATAAATCATTAGACTTTCCAAAGATGGGAGTAAAAAATGAGAGGGAGGCAGAACAGCAAAACAAGGGACACGATAGACACATACCAAGGACTGAATGTGAAGACAAAAAACTGCAATAAGATTTGCTAACAAACACAGTAATGAAAATAAACATGAGATATTGCTCAAATAGGTTATGTAGATGCCTAGACAATCATGTACTTGCTCGTCATACTTCTTACTCTGGGGGAGGGGGAGAGTACTTATTTTTTAAACAGTTTTTACTAACAACGCCAATTCTAAATTAGTCTGAGTGTCTATGCCAAAACTACGAGGCTTACCTGTAGCTTCTGATGCTGGTGTCGGGTACGCACCAGTTGCTGGAGGTTGCATTGGTACAGGCCGAGGCACCTGCAAAATGTGTTTAATATTATAAATTGATAATTATAAATGTTGTAGGTAGTAGGTTGTTAGACAGCAAGTGCCCAGGGAGGCACTACTGTCCTGCCAAGTGAGTGTAAAACAAAAGCCTGTAATTGTTTTAATGATGGATTGCTGGTGTCCATTTTTCTGTCTCATAAACATGCAAGGTTTCAGGTATGTCTTGCTAATTCTCCTTACCCTTAGGTCACACTACACATACATGAACAAGCATATATACAGTGGTCCCTCAATTATCGTCCTTAATCCGTTCCTGGAAGTGGGACTATTATCGAAATGGACTATTTTCGAATCAATTTTCCATAAGAAATAATGTAAATCCAAGTAATTCGTTCCAGACACCCAGAAGTATCAACAACAATTTTTTTTTTACCTAAAAGATAGATTTACATGCACAAAAGAATGAACATTCAACATGACAGTTACCTTTATTGAATGGAAGACAGGAGGGAGAGAGGAAGAGTTATTGTTTGGAAGGGGAATCCCCTCCAAATCCATAAGGACCTAGGTCACTTCAGGGTCACTTCCCTAGCATAAATATAGATTTACATGCAGAAAAGAATGCAATAAATGTAAGCACTAATAATGTGTAAATGAACATTGTAATAGGAGTATTGTGAGTGGAACGGTCCTGCCTAGTAGGGTGATCAAGCTAAAACATTGGGTAGTTTCAAAATTTAGTTGGATAAATAAACGAGTGAAGGTTGGATTTGATCGGACTTGTACCTGAGCTTTATTGCTTGGTAGCATTGTCTGTTAGTGGTTGGATTTGTGAAGGACCGGCTAGTATGAGCCAACAGGCTTATTGCAGTGTTCCTCTTTATGTTCTAAAAGCTATGGCTTGGTAGTTTCAAATTGGTGTTGTAAATACACGAGTGAGGGGGTTGATTTGAGTCGACTTGCACCTGAGCTTATTGCTTGGTAGCATTTGTTCTGTATGGGTTGGATTTGTGAAGGACCGGCCTAGTATGGGCAGCAGCCTACTGCAGGTTCCTCCTTTCTTATGTTCTTATTGAAGCTTGTTTGTGTGAGGGAGGGATGGTAAGTTTATTGTTGGAGAATATGACACTAATTCAACTCTACGCTTACTTATCTATCACAATTCAACTAATATGACATAATAAACAATATAAAACATAGAACATGGAATATAATCTAGAATGAATAAAATAAGTCATTACGTATGTCACGAGAGGTGCTGTGTTGTGTTGTTGTTGGGTATATAAGGACCACTGAGAGTAAGCCGTCCATAATGGTGGTGAAGCAGCAGCTGAGGCGGTGGTGTTTTCTGTAGCCCTACATAACTCCAACAACATTGGAGGAGTTGGTAGAATCGCTGAATCACTAAAGAAGACACCCTCTACCACCATCACTACGACCTTCTACCACTATTACAACTGTTACCACCATCACTACTACCTTCTACCACTATCACAACTGCTTCCACTCTACCACCACCACCACCTTTGTATTTTTCTACAAACTTTTTCATAAATTATATGTGTTTCTCACATTCTTTACCAAAGGGCTGGCACTAGAAGCTTTCTTTGGAGCCATGGTAGCTTATTTAGCACTTGCAAGCAATAAAATCAATGGAATATTGTGAAATATTTCGTAGGAGCAAGTGAGGGGACCGTTGTTCACTGATAAACAATGGCACACTGGCTGGGAAGGCAGGCCCAGGCCACTCAGAGCGTGAGTACGCATCCCAGACGCAGGACAATTAGCGAGTTAATGAACCATTTGCGAGCCAATGTTTAGACAAAATAATGGGACTATTTCCGAAATGGACAACTTTCAGGCCGGACGATTATTGAGGGACCACTGTATATACACCCCTCTGGGTTTTCTTCTATTTTCTTACTAGTTCTTGTTCTTGTTTATTTCCTCTTATCTCCATGGGGAAGTGGAACAGAATTCTTCCTCCGTAAGCTATGCGTGTTGTAAGAGGCAACTAAAATGCCAGGAGCAAGGGGCTAGTAACCCCTTCTGTATAAATTACTAAATTTAAAAAGAGAAACTTTTGTTTTTCTTTTTGGGCCACCTTGCCTCGGTGGGATACGGCCGGTTTGTTGAAAGAAGAATCCTAAGTGTACAGCACTTATGTATAAAATGCTGTAGAATGCCATGTCCAGGAGATATGGATAAGCTGCAGACTTTGGCTATGGCTTCACCTTGTTCAAAATAATATTGCGTGTTGATGTAACAGAAGCAGCTGGCAGGAGACTTACTTGTACATTTTTCATTTTATTAGCCAAATAAATATTACTATTCCTTACTTAATAAGTTGTGGGGAATCTCTAGAATATGCAGTGTGTTTGGGAAGTTAGCTGATTTAACCCTTTGACTGTTTTCGACGTATAAATACGTCTTACGAGCCAATGTTTCTGACGTATATATACTCAATAATTCTAGCGGCTTCAAATCAAGTGGGAGAAAGCTGGTAGGCCCACATGTGAGAGAATGGGTCTGTGTGGTCAGTGTGCACCACATAAAAAAAATCCTGCAGCACACATTGCGTAATGAGAAAAAAAAAAATCTGATCGTTTTTTTGGAATAAAACGCGACTTTGAGGTGTATTTTCGTTATAGTATTTATCATGTATTCGCGTTTCATGGTCTTAGGTGATAAAATGGAAAACATATTACAGAATAGAGATGATTTTCATTATTTTACGTGAAAATGACCTTAAACTAAGCTCAAAGTAGCGAAAATGTTCGATTTCTCTACCAATGTTGAAGAGTAAATAAATCACACCACCTTCTCAATACACAGTCAACTAGGGAGAACTTATATTCTTTCACTAGTGCATGATATTATTTATACCATTTTTACAATAATGCGGTCTGTCTGCATAACAGTAAATTTTGTATTTTTTTGTAATGAATAAAAATCAAATAGAAAGCAATAATAATAAGAGGGGCCTAGAGATGTGACTAATGAACAGAGCAATTTATTTTAGTGCCACGAATGCACCTTGTTTATTTGGACCCTATTTGAAATTGGCATCTTTTTTATTTGCGTGAAATTGGCCAAATTGCCAATTCTGCACCATATTGGGTAGTCAAATTAGTAATGGGAGGTTTCTGTACCAGTGTAATAAAATGGATTCTAAAGAAATAGCTATGATTTGGCACTGGCAATGGATTGGCTGAAAATTGGGCTCAAAGTCGCGAAATCGCCGATACGCATATGTCGCCGAGACCGCTAACTTCGCGGGACCATAATTCCACGAGTTTTCGACCAAATTTCGAACTTTTGGTGTCATTACCATCGGGAAAAGATTCTCTATCATTTCATAAGAAAAAATAATTTTTTTTTTTTCAAAAATTGAGCGACATAGAATGACAGTTTCAGAGAGGGGCCTGAAACAGTCAAAGGGTTAATTGATATGCATCAGTGAATTCATAATATCCTATGCTACAACTTTCTCATAATTTTTCATAAGAAACATAAGAACATACATAAGAAAGAAGGAACGCTGCAGCAGGCCTACTGGCCCTATCAACACATTCAACAATTGTAGAAACACAGCTAGAGTAAATGTATCGCTAATTAGTCACAGCCAAGTTAATTACCATATAATCATGTATGATACTGCATTATGTAGGTAGTAGGTTGGTAGACAGCAACCATCCAGGGGAATACTACCATTCTGCCAAGTGAGTGTAAAACGAAAGCCTGTAATTGTTTTACATGATGGTAGGATTGCTGGTGTCTTTTGTCTGTCTCATAAATATGCAAGATAACAGGTACGTCTTGCTACTTCTTCTTACACTTAGGTCACACTACACATACATGTACAAGCATGTATATACACACCCCTCTGAGTTTTCTTCTATTTTCTTTCTAGTTCTTGTTCTTGCTTATTTCCTCTTATCTCCATGGGGAAGTGGAACAGAATTCTTCCTCCGTAAGCCATGCATGTTGTAAGAGGCAACTAAAATGCCGGGAGCAAGAGGCTAATAACCCCTTCTCCTGTATACATTACTAAATGTAAAAGGAGAAGCTTTTGTTTTTCCTTTTGGGCCACCCCGCCTCGGTGGGATACGGCCAGGGTGTTGAAACAAAGAAAGATACTGCATTATTAATTTTTGGGGTAACTATCCAATTAGATTGTATTTACTGAACTTTTGTGGATTCTTAATATTGCAATGAATATTCCCTTCAAAATTTTTATACATCATTTTAACATAATAGGTGTCTCAAAAAAAAAAAAAAAAAAAAAAAACATTCACCAAGTGTAAAAACTAAGGGAGGAGGAAGTTAGGGTGAGATATAAGCAACTATTGGCAAAGGTGGGCTAGTGCAAGTATGAGTAGTGGGAGGGTTGAAGAGGGTTGGAATAGTTTTAAAAATGCAGTATTAGAATGTGGGGCAGAAGTCTGTGGCTATAGGAGGGTGGGTGCAGGAGGAAAGAGGAGTGATTGGTGGCAGGATGAAGTCAAGGGTGTGATAAAAGAGAGAAAGGTAGCTTATGAGAGGTTTTTAAAAAGCAGAAGTGTTATAAGAAGAGCAGAGTATATGGAGAATAAAAGAAAGGTGAAGAGAGTGGTGAGAAAGTGCAAAAGGAGAGCAGATGACAGAGTGGGAGAGGCACTGTCAAGATATTTTGGAGTGAGATAAACAAGTTAAGAAAGCCTAGGGAATGAATGTATTTGTCAGTTAAAAACAGAGTAGGGGAGTTAGTAGATGGGGAGATGGAGGTATTGGGTAGATGGGGAGATGGAGGTATTGGGTAGATGGCGGGAATATTTTGAGGAACTTTTAAACGTCAATGAAGAAAGGGAGGCGGTAATTTCATGCACTGGCCAGGGAGGTATAACATCTTTTAGGAGTGAAGAAGAGCAGGATGCGAGTGTGGGGGAGGTGCGTGAGGCATTATGTAGAATGAAAGGGGGTAAAGCAGCTGGAACTGAAGGGATCATGACAGAAATGTTAAAAGCAGGGGGGTATATCGTGTTGGAGTG